TAAGATCACTAGACCTCAAAAATAAATTTAAATATATTTAGTTTGCTAGATAAGATATAAAATTTAAAAATTATATATTAAAAAATAACAAACTAACACTAATAATTTTTATAAAAAATAGTTATTATCTTTATAGTAGCTTATACATACAGACAAACTAAAGTTAGTACTTAACTAGATAGATTTTCTCTCAACATATCTTCTAACTTTTCTAATATTATCAAGACCATCAAAAATTTCACTTCATATTTAGTTTTCTCAACTACTACATCTAACTGCATCTCTCATTAAAAAACAATAAGTTTAAAGATAAAAAATCAGTTACCAAAGTTTGTTGTTTTATTACATATTACAAAAAAAAAATTTATATGATGTGCCGATTTTTACTAATAAAAATACTTTAAAAATTATAATTTACTATATAAAAAGAAGATCGTCACCAATCATATTTATCCTAATTTTAGCCAATTAAAACGAACTTCTGCTATGCTGGTACGTATTTGCAATTTCAAGCAAAAAAGCAAAAATTTTACGTTACACCTGATCTTCAAAGCAAATGTAACGTTACACCTGATCGTCAAATCTGATTGGATAAATTGCTAGAAACAATATATTTATATAATATATTTATAAAAAAACTAAAACTTTATTAATCAGGCAAAATTATGTATTTTTTTGTGCTACTACCAGTCTGAGGACATGTTATACCTGTTGATTTATAAGTGCTAGTTTATAATAAAATTATAATAAAAACATATAAATTTATTATAAACTTTAAGCTCCATATTATTTCCTACTTACATATTAACTTTGTTTCAAATTTTAGAGTGCATAACGAAAATAACATTTATTAGATTTAATATTATTATGTAACTCTTTAAATTATTTTATAATATATGATGTATCAGAAGTGACGATATTGCCAATAACTAATATACTGTGGAGTTTAATTAGTTAAAGCACGAAGACTTTCTCTTCGTTTTAAAGACGAGTCTAATTTTTAGTATTTAAATAAAATAACAACCGATTTTTTTTCTTTGATTGAATTTGTGATGATTCTTTTTGCAAAATATTTCGAGAAATATGTAAGGTATCTTCCTTTAATTCTTTACAGTTAGATTTCGTATTATTCTCAAAATTGATAGTAATAATTCTTTGATCTGGCTTTAAATTTTTTGCTAATTTATCAAAAGTATCATTAAAATTTGTAATATTATTAAAAGAAATGTCAAGTTGATGAGTTATTTGGGGACATGTTTTCATTATTTGGAGAGATGTCCCTGTTATTTTTGACTTTTGACTTCGTGATAATGCTTTTATATTAATATCACAGCGAAGTATTTGCTTAATAGTGATTCGAAACCCCTTCATACTTTCTGTAATACCCC